CCTTCGCCACTGAATAAATACCAGAGAATCACGATTGTATGTATGTGGTTCATGATTATATCGATAATTCATTCAAATAATTAAGATAATTATAGAATGATTCAGCAATTTTTAAGCTACATTTTCATCATTCACTTCTGCTGGCATTTAATCACAAATTTGACACTTGAATTTTGTTGTTATGAAATTAACCAATGTCTATTGCGTGGTGTTTATGTCTTATTAATGCACAGGTTTGTCATCTCGGTTTTCAAGATAGGAGAATATCATCTAAATTGCTTGTTGTTCTTGTATCGGGGATCGGTCATTTGCACATACTAGACCTGTATATGGAATCAATGACTGCAAGATACGCAATATTTCAGTAGCAGATTGCTTTATAAAATAACCTCAAAACACATCTCTTCAAAATTGCTTTGCAGTATACGTTTATTATATTGTTGGTTGTTATCCCTTTGTTATTGTATCTTAGTTGACTGTTCTTAGTTTTCTTATCATTTGCGCATTGACCACATTAATCATGCATAATTATATAGAGTAAATGTTGGCGCAGGTAGATATTTATATGTTGTTATTATTATTTGTATTATTCTCTATGTTATCTTCATCATCATCATCATTATCTTCTACTAAAAAGAAAAGCCATGATGTAAAAAGGGGCCTCGGTCCGACATCAAACAAGGCAGAAAATGGAATCATAATTATTAGCTATGATTACGAAGTCCAAATTTCAAATGTTTTTTTAGTCAGACATATTGGAGTTTGATTCCTTCAAGTATAAGATTAATCACTTTGAAAATCATTCTGCGTATTTACATTATGAATGACTGTGCAAATACTGTTCTCATAGTGAAGATTATGATCAGCAATAACCACATTATTATGTATGCTCACCAGTCTAAATATGTTTATCGTATAGATCGTGCAAACTTTTTGAAGTTCAAGACAAATTAACATCAATCAAATGTATTCCTTATCAAAAATTTGTTATTTTCTCTTTTCCTCATACGAGGCACTTTATTACTTTATATCATTTGAACAACATTGCGTATAGAGTTTGATTACAATACACATTCAACAGTCTGATAAAAATCAAATAGAGGAGACAAAACGAAAGTGGAAGGGAAAGATCAAGGCATGAATAAAAATGCGTCAAAGGCTTAATATAACCATTAAGAAAGATTTATCTTCGTTATCAAACATACTTCGTATAGTATACAGCAATACTTTTTTTTTCAAAAGAAAAACATTTAGGGCGGATGTGGTAATGTGGTTTTTATCCGGTTATTTTTCATGAAATATTTGAAGAAATTATGGACATACAAAAGTGAAAGTTGTTTCGATTCTCATAAAAAATAATGAGGAAGTTTTGTGTGTAATATATATATATAGGTTATGTCTTAATTTCTCTGCCTTGTACCTCCCAATCCGTACATCTTTTCCTGCACGCCACAGTATTCGTGCTACTCAATCGTTTCTTTGGAAAAACTACAAAAATCCCGAGTTCAGGTGCTTTATAAAACGACAAGGAAGCAAAGCCGCTGAGGCCGCTCCCTTTCCTAGTTCATCTGTATATTTTATACAATTATAATTTGTTTTCAATTTTTCAGATAATTCTTGTTTTGTGTTCAAAACCATGATCATAATTAATTAACCAACCCTAGTTCTTTATCATATTTTCTGATGTATTTTTGTGTCCATAAAGTTTGGGAGGAGGGCGCATAATGATTTATCTTCGTTATCAAATATACTTCGTAGAGTATACAGCAATACCCTTTTTTCAAAAGAAAAACATTTAGGGCGGATGTGGTAATGTGGTTTTTATCCGGTTATTTTTCATGAAATATTTGAAGAAATTATGGACATACAAAAGTGAAAGTTGTTTCGATTCTCATAAAAAATAATGAGGAAGTTTTATGTGTAATATATATATATAGGTTATGTCTTAATTTCTCTGCCTTGTACCTCCCAATCCGTACATCTTTTCCTGCACGCCACAGTATTCGTGCTACTCAATCGTTTCTTTAGAAAAACTACAAAAATCCCGAGTTCAGGTGCTTTATAAAACGACAAGGAAGCAAAGCCGCTGAGGCCGCTCCCTTTCCTAGTTCATCTGTATATTTTATACAATTATAATTTGTTTTCAATTTTTCAGATAATTCTTGTTTTGTGTTCAAAACCATGATCATATTTGATTAACCAACCCTAGTTCTTTATCATATTTTCTGATGTATTTTGGTGTCCATAAAGTTTGGGAGGAAGGCGCATAATGCTTAATATTTGAGGGGTATGCCATTTTGTTTGGTATTAAAGGGGGAGATCTGTGCTCCTTGGATCCGCCACTAGTTTTTCCTTAATAATTTTGATAATTAAGTTTTAGATTTGTAAAGCGCGCTTGTCATTTAGGCACATAGCTTGATTCAGGCATTAACTGTAAATGAAATTGCCCTAGTTTTGTGATTTATGTAAGCAGCTATATCATGCGAAATTGATTGTAATTCACTTCACATCCATGACAAAACGTAAAAATAAACAATGAAATGAATATTACTTCCGCATTTCAGGTACCCCTTGAGAGACCAAAAAGTGCTTGTCATCGTGCTCTTTGAAGCTTGTTTACGAATGCCTGGAATGACACGGACTAAACATTGTTATGCTGCTCTTCAGCACATCAAAGATTATAAAATTGATTAATGCTATCTTGCTCGTCGCTAAATCTGGCCAAAAGCCAAGAATATTGATAAGGCCTCTATTAGTAGCTTCAACAATGTTCTTTTTACAAATACATGTACATGTATTTTTCTTTCATATCCCCGATGACCGATTACATTGTCATTTGTCACCATGATAAAATGTTTAAAACAAATATTAGAACGGAACTGATAACAATTTCTCGCTCGATCCCCTTGCTCGGTTGCAAAATCAAGAAACTGGTAAGTGCATATTCGGGCAAAAAAAAACTGTCATTGCCCCCTCCCCCCTCCCCTGCGCCTTCTGTTGTTATAATCTTTTTTTTTTTTTGGAGAGAGAGAGAGAGGGGAAGAGAGGGAGGGAGGAAGTGTAAGAGGGAGAGAAATAGAGGGAGGGAGGGGAGGGAGAGAGAGAGAGAGAGAGAGAGAGAGAGAGAGAGAGAGGGGGGGGGGGGAGAAGGAAAGAATGGTTTCTAATCTAGAACCTATTTCATAATTCAGTATATTGTACAAAAGGATAAAAAAATACTCATCATATAACTGCGATTCTGTCCTTTAATATGTTGAATATTTTTCGAAATCATCTAGGTCACTTCTTTTGGATCATCAAGTAAGTTGACAAACGGCCCGCTTTCAAAGGGCCCATGAGCCTAACAGTAACGGCCCACGAAGCCGACATTTCGGTATTTGCGCCCCCCCCCGACCCCCACCCCTTCTCTTCTCATCCTTTAGCCCCCTTTTACTCTCTCTCTCTCTCTCTTACTCCTAATATTGTTTCTCTTTCTAATATTGCTTCTCTATCTAATTGTGCTTCTCTTTCTAATTATCTGTGTGCTTTTTGTCCGTCTTCTTTCTGAGAAAGATTGTTCCGTCTCCCCTCTCTTTTTTCATCTTTGGTCTCATAGTAGCTATGTCTGCCCCCTTTCTTTCTCTCTGTATGTCTCTGTCTCTCTCACTCTTCAAAAAACTCTATCTGTCTTTTTAAAAATATTTTCTTCTCAATTCCTCTGCTTGCAAAATTTATCTTGTATTCCTTTACCCCCCCCCTCTCTCTCTCTCTCTCTCTCTCTCTCTCTCTCTCTCTCTCTCACACCCTTTATCTCTATCTGAGTCGGTCTCTCTGGGAGTGTCTATCTCTGTGCATGATCTCAAGTGGTAAAACGTGTCAAATCTTTGATGTCAAAATTTAATGCCTATTTCCTTATCTCGAAAATCATGTCTACCCCAAAAATGTAATGCAGTGGAACCTCTTTATAATTCTTTTAACAACCTGTCATTATAACAAGGTAATATCTTCTTTGTTTTTCTTTACCTGTGCTCTATTCTTTTGAGCTCTAATGTACCGAAATTTCAATACAGCAAAGTATGATTTTGTTGTTGTTATTCCAATGACTTTATAGGATGTCATGAAAAGGTTCCACTGTAAAATCATTTCTTTGACGAAAAAAGTACCTCTAATTATCTGTCCAATGTTTCTACATCATCACTAATGTTACTATACCGTGCGAAGCCAAAAAAGATTTACACTAGGAAAATTCTCATTTATTTTCAAAAGTCAGTTATGAAAGTAAGGTTATCATACATGTTTTTAAAGAGTGTTATATCCTGAATAGTTTGGTATCATTTTTGTGTGGTATGTGTTCACGCTTGGATGAACAGGAGGCATTGTTTGCGAGAGTGCAAAAATCGGTTTGCGCAAAAGTATTAAAGTAAGAGAATGAGTTTAATGTATCAAATGAGATGCATTGCATATGCTTTTTTCAGAAGCAAAGTCACACACACACGCGCACAAATGTTCTTTGATATTTGATATGTGTGGCGTGATAAATTTTGTTAGGGATGTTATTTGGATCTGCAAAGACCGAATTGATACCCAAATCTCAAATGTTTTATTCAAACATCACATAAGCATTAATTTGGCGCAAGTCGATTTTTGCACTCTCTTAAAAAAAAATTCTCCTGTTCATCCAAACGTGAACACATACCACACATAAATGATACCAAATGATTTAGGATAAAACACTCTTTCATAAGATGTATAATAATTTACTGTTCATAGATGATTTTAAAATAATTAGCAATTTTCTAGATGTAAACTTTTTTTTACTACAAGGTATATGACCACAATCCAGTATAATCACTATAATCAGATTTACATACTCATTCAAAGGAATTGACATGATATAGAGTGTATTTGTACGATTTGATTTAATTTAATCACGAGGTATTAATTAGAAGACTTTTCCACATACATGTATTTTTCTCTGGATTTTCAATTTGAATGATCATAGATGTACACATGCAGCATCAACCATTGTTTAAAATGTACACATATTTTATTTCAATGATTTATAATCGTGGGTGACATAGTCAAAAAGACTTGTCACAATCAATATGCAATATGAAAAATATACATCTTCATGATTGAGTTTCAAACACAAATTAACAAACAATTCAAGAATTATATAAATGTGATGTAATATAACAGTTCTTTGTCTCAATTTGCGAAGGAATACAAAATATGTCAGTACCATTGAAATATTGTGCAATTACTGCAATGCTTACATTGCAAATTCAAGTAAATCAATTTGCTACGAACATCACTCTGACTTCCCAGTGCAGTTTTCGGATTCTCTGATGGTGATGAAAACTCTCTTTTTTTTGGTTACAACCGTCAGCAACTTTCAGACTTTAAATACATCCCCTTAAACTACCCCCCCCCCCACCTCCCCTCAAAAGTTCTTAATTGGTATTCTGAAAAATATTGTTATCGTCCATCATCTCCTAAGCAAAACAGGGTTGCTCCAGCACTGGCAAAACAATTCCTGACTAGATGTGAGCAGAACACGGCACTTTTTGTTTATCAAGCAGGTGTTATTGTATTAGGAGACTGTTTTAACCATACTTCATTGACCTTTTGAGAACAGGCGCATACCTAGACTGCAAATTGGTAGCTTAATTAGACATAGCATCTGTACCCACACATTTTCTTGTTTCTAATGGCTATGAGCATACTACTGTTCACATAGATACATGTATATATATCATCACATTAAAACCAGAGATCAAAGTGATTAAGATAAAGCTGCATGTGTACTGTAAATGCAATTTCCATTTTTGGTATTTCTTTTTTTGTAACAATGACTTGGGCGTCTTTGGATTCTAGTCGAGGTGAGTTGTTCTTGAACCATATCGTTGAACCTCCAAAATATAATAATCTGTATTGGATATATACAAGGCCAAAACCACATTAATCTTAAATTGTTTTTACAGTCAAATTTACCCTCAGAACCCATTTAGAAAAATGACTGGCAGAGATGACTAGATTCTATCTGCTAGAGCCAAGAGGGTTGTAAATTAACTTGTATCCTCCAACCAGATCTTAAACGCCATTTTGGCTCTCAACAAACCGTTTAAAATGTTGAACCAGATTTAGGTGAGATCTGTCCAAACGATGAGAGTAAAAATGGCACTGATAAGGACTTCATAGGGAGTCAACACCCCCCCCCCCCCTGGCTCTCTGTATTTAAAATCACATACAAACTTATACGAACAATTATTTTCTCTCGAAAAACAATGTTAGTACTAACAAAATGAAATAAAGTTTCATGAAAATGTAACAAGAAAACACAGAAAGACATGTTACACACAATATTTAGGAGAGAAAAAAGGTCCTTTCTTCATTACCTAGACATGTTTGGCCTTGGCGAATAATTAGTAATAACTACCCTGTCTTCTGCCTTGATCATAGTATACAATCTCTTCATCTGTTATATATAAAAATATAATATTCTAATATTCTAGAAGCTCCCACATTAATGATACCTCCAAGTCATTATCATTTTCATCATCGACAGGTATCCTAGTATACATCAATAAGAGGAATGTCATATTTCATGAGGATTTCATGAAATCTAATCACCTTGTTTTTGTATCATTACTTCTGCCTCGTACAAACGGTACTGATGGATCTAAGAAATGGACAAAATAGATTGAACAATGTTTGGGAAAATAACAAATTACAGCATGTTTTTTCCCCCATCATACCGGTACTTGAATATTACACTGTCATCTAGTATCTGCCATACTAGGTTTGGCACTGACAAATTATTTTTTTCAACATCAAAAATCCATATCCTATTACCTGGTAGTCTAATGTTAAGTGAAATACATTTACCGCAATTAATTAATTACATAAATCTCATAGTCATGGAAAATTCTACTACAAAAAAGGAGAAAATATATCAAAATATTCATAAAAAATTGCTTTGGCATTCCTTTTCCATAATAATATTTTCTAAAAAAAGTAAATAAACAAATACATTGGAATTAAAAATCCTTTGTCTAATTTATTTGTCAAACTAATAATAATATAAAATATAATATATGTATCTGTACCAAAAGAACACAGTTACATAAGAGATCAAATGTTCAAAAAAGAAAACATAATTATTTTGTTGATATCAAATTAATGAATACAAGGATACTATTTCTTGATTCAAATCGAAATTAAAATGCAGGAAGAAAAGTAAATGATTCAAAGAGGTAAACAAAAGAATACAAACTGTATAACATTTAAGTACTGAGAAAATTAGTATTTAGAAAATAAACGAGCATGCATTTATCTCTCCTTCTGCATTATTAGATACCAGTAAATAACCTACATCACCTCAGGAATGACTCCTTGTATAGATTAAAAAATATACAAAGAAAGTAAGATTTAAGCTTTCGAATGTCAAATTTTTAATGCAGCAGCCAATACATTCATGTTAATTTCAGTAATTTTTGTTAATCAGGTAAAATATCTATGACAATGTGCAGCAGGGCTCCAATTCACAGACAAAACATTCAAAAATCGTTTTCATTTACAAGCAAGAGTATGTTCTGATCATCCTAAAATAACAACTTTCGGGGGGGGGGGGGGGGGGGGGCTAGACATGGAACTAACAAGTCCCCAAAATCTAAGTCCGGACCTCTATATGTTGGTACATTATTTGGGCTCATGAATACCAGTTACCATTTTGTTTAACAATGTTTCCAGTTTTACAAATCTGAGATGCATGGCCCTACGTTGTTATCAGTGTCTGTGATATGGTGTAATATCAAAGCCCTGAAAAAAATTCGATTCAAAATGATCATGAAGTGCTTCGAAAAAGAAAAAATCTTTGAGTGACCGGTAATTGGACACGTACTGTTTTCATACGATAATAATTGCAGCATTTGTTTTTTGGACATGTACGTTTTTCATTCAAGTATTTACGTTTAGACTATGCACATGCATTCTTTTTAGTCTCAATATATCTAACAGGGATGCCAGTTAGAATTAATCAGAGGGCCTGAAAACACCTAGAATGAGCCATTTTGTACACAGAAAAGCCTAAACAATGGTCTGAAAATAACTTGCCATGGCATGAATTCATGCTATTGCCTGAAAACTGGCATCCCTTATCTAACCTTTTAATGTTTGTTTTTAATTGTTTGATGTTAATGCTCACTCAAGTGCAATGTTCCATGTAGAGATTTTAAAATGTAAATGTACTGGGAGTAGCAAGTGTGTGTGTGTGGGGGGGGGGGGGGGGCACATGCCGCTGGTGGAACACTTGCAGCTCCAACTCCTTTTATTCTTTCATATTCTTATTATGTATTTGTCTCTTGCCACTGTTAAGTATCTGTGCTTTTTATGATTGGTCAAATAAGTAATAATAATAATAATAATGATAATGATAATGACAGAAATTCACTTTGAAACATGAAAAATTGCATAGTCACATTTCCTCTCATATCAAATACTCCCAACAGTTATGTCAGGAGCTGTAACTCATTTAGAAAGTGTAAATGTACCTCCTCTTACTGCATGAACTACAATATTAATGATTAATGTTTAGATATTCGTAAGGCAGCATGAATATGTGCATGAAATGTTGATGTAATTGCACGATACAAATGTTTGACATTTACATCATATTACGTCCAGGTACCGAGAGCCAGAAGGGTGTTAACTCTGTGTGAAAGTATCCCAGTTAATGCCCTTCCAAACAAATACCAATAACAGATATAACCAATAACAATAAGCATACAATTGTATCATCTATAAGGCAGTCATTTTCGATTATCCACCCTTTCTCAAACGGTGAAATTTAAAGCTCAGGATGACTTGAAAACAATATTTAAATATCTTTTGCTTACATATACAAAAGAACCCATAGCATGATATAAAGTAGAAACACTTGTTCACAATATATTCTGTACTTCAATTACATGTATGTACACATGTCCATTTATTTTACTGTTAAAAAAAAAGATATTAGGAAATTGCAGAACTTACTGTTGCACAAATAATAATGAATGACATCAACTTTTGTTATTTTTTATTTTTTATAGACATTAATTTGACTTGAGCTGAACTACAAAAAATGTACAACCTTTCGCAACTAAACCGCCCCGGACTGCACCTTAGCTTGATCTTTTCTTAAACTGCCCTTAAGCCCGTAAGAAGGAAAAGCTAATTCGGTTCAGAATTATAGTGCAGTCAGACCAATAGTCTATGATTTCAGGCACTAAATTTCTAGTTGTTAAGATTTCCATGACGAATATAATTACTGTTTCTTAAAGAATCGGATCGCACAGTCAGAGAGTGGAGTGTGCGGAGGGCATAAGGCACAGAGAATAGAAAAACATCTTAATTCTTACTTGTGATTAGGTTCTAGGAGATGAAAATTACAAAAACTAATAAGGTAAGACAAAGCCTGAACTTGCCCTTATTGAATACTAATGAAAATAAAGGGAAGTTTCCTTCAAGTTCAGAATTTTTTTAATGAAGAAACTTAATTTAAATTTACTAAGAGGTCACAATGTAAAATTGCACTAGACATTTAATGTAGATAATAATATTTCATTTATAAAGCTCCTTTTCATTAGAAAAAAAGTGCATAAACAAGAAAAACAAACAGGCAAATAGAGAAAATTATCATACAAATCTTACATTAATTACAAACAGAGGGGAACATTTCAACAAATTAGAAAAAAATGTGTTTTCAGACACTGCTTGCAAAAGAAAGATGGATCAAAGTTTTCTATCACCGATGAAATAAATTTGAATCAATGATACTTTGCGGTAACCTGATAAATAAGAACTAAAAATTGCATAGTCCAGACCAAACAAGAGTACTCAGTACAATGATTCTTCATACAATATATCATCATCTGTATTATCACAACAATACTGATTTCCATCCAACAATTTATAAGGCCTAAAAAAAAATTAAAAATGTATTGCCCTTTAGGTGCCAAAACATGGGTCGGTCGGTCAGATCTGTGTTTTTTTTTACTTGTTTTTTTTACTCCCTCTTTGGGCTGATATTTCTCAGTTTTTAATTCTTAAATACATTTTTCTCTCTTTTTTAAAAGGACGACCGTAGATTTGAAGATTTTCTTGATTTTTGGGTCGGTCGCAAATGGCAATACAACAACTTTTTTTTTTAAAGGCCTAATTGTAGTCGGGATTGTCCAATAATGCATGCATCCGAGGTACATGTAAATATTGATGTCTGTCTTATCTCACTACATATAAAAAATGGTATTATGCTAGGAGGAGCTCGTGCAGCATGGGCTCTGACAACACTTCTTCCTTGAGAGGTGACTGGCGATTGCCAGTGCCCCTCCTGAGGCAAACCGAACAAAGGTGTCTCCTACCAGAGGACCCATGGCGTAAAGGCCAGGCTCTGCTTCAGTTTCCATGGTAATGGGATCAACACTTACAGGATTGTTCTTGCAGTTGATGTCACTGCTTTCTTCACCCAGGCTAACCCCTCCGCCAGGTAGGAAGGACAGGTCTGGCTTCGCTCCTATGAAGACTGTAACCATCGAGACGGCCATACGCTGCGTTGAATCATTACCTGATAGGGTCACCATGCAGTCCCTGCTGAAGTCCACCACCTGGTGCTTTGGGAATGGTGTGTAGCCTTCCTCCTCGATCTCCCCTCGCATCATCTGCAGGACTCGATGGTACTCAGGGTAGACCACCTTGGGAAGCTTGCTGAGGGTGATTGCCGAATCCCAGGGTGACCTCCGGAAGACATGGACGACTGGAACTCCTGCGTTTCTGGCCATGAGGATGGCATCAGCAGCAGACAGTCCTGACCCGATCACCAGAACAGGGTAGGACTGACTACTAAGGTCGCCTTCCTGAATGGAAGATTCAAGGTACTTCAGATCGTACCTCACATACCGGAAGTCATCTCCAGGGACGTTGAGCCGATTCGGTTTCCCCATCATCCCCGTTGCAAGGACAACGTTGGGAGACAGTACTGTGAAGTTTTGCCGGCATCCGCAGTTGGGGTCAATGTGTTCGCCTTTGACCTCAAACAGGTTCTCCCCCTCCAGCTTGCAGCATCGCTGACACGGGATCTCAGGCTCTCCACTCTCATTGTTGATGACGCGTCGACCCTTCAGACGACGGATGGAAAGAACCTTGGTGTAAGGCACAAAGTTATCCTCAAGCTTCTTGGTCTTGACAAAATCTTGGTAGTAGTGGGCCACCTCGGACAACGTTGCTCTCTTGTAGTTGCTCATCACCATGGGGTCCTTGTGAGTTTCCCTGTTAGAGAAATATTAAAAATACACTGAATTTTTTTCACTGAAAATAATGTGTTTACAGTATCTCTATTAAACTCTTTATGAACAATTGAACATGTATGCTTCCTAAGTCTGAATGTAATTGCCACCCTATATTTTTGTTTGTATCAACAACAGAAAGTACCCTATGGCACTCACTTTAGTAGGAATGCTTTTGTTTAGTGTGAATAATCTAAATAATCTAAATTTGTTCATTTTAAAGGTTGAAAAAAGAAATCTTGATATTGTTTGGGGAAGCATTCAATAATGACCCCTTAATAATTAAAAGAAATACTACATGTATCTTATTTGACTAAATTAGCATAATTAGCATAATTAACTCTTGAGTAATTGAATCGCTGTACACAATTAATTCTGAAAACAAATGACAGAGGAAAGATACTCTGTACATCTCGATCATCATCGACAACGAGAAGAAGAAGAATAAAATCAATGCACAGGTGAAAAGCACATGGAGGTGTTTGCTACTAAAAAGTAGGCTCTCTATTCCATACCTGTATTCTGCAGCCCATTCATCAAAGCTCATGTCTGGCATTTCCATCCATGCTCCAAGGCTCAGCGTCAACACAGAGTCGTCCATTTCCTGAACAGAAACAGAATTTTTAAATTAATGATTTGACCTATTTATACGTCATATACATGTAGGTACACATGTACGTTTAACGTTGGGGTGGGGGTGCATGGCTTAATTCAGAGGCAATAAGGTACAGAGTATATATGGACATGGTGTCATAGTTGTACATGACCCCCACAGGATTGTTCAGATATGGTGCAGAAAAACGCCACAAAAACAAGAACTTGTGCGTAAGATACAGAAATGTGAAGTGTATTATAAATACTAAAAATCATCATAAAACAAAAACGATTTTTTTTTTTTTTTTTAATTTTTTTTTTTTACCACATATCTGAATGAGCCTTATCTCCTTGCAATGATCATTCAATTACTTCTTGCCATCTGTTTGTTCATCTGCATTGATTCTTGTCTCAGTTGTCTGTTGAATTCTGTTCATCTATCTACATGTACATGAATATGTGTCTCTTCCAGCTCATACAGTCTATTTCTACCATCCATCTCTCTCTATTATGATTATGTGAAGCATACTGGCCATATTTTACACATAAACTACCCCCCCCCCCCACCCCCTTCTCTGCCTCTCCAAATAATATACTTCTGTCTCTCTCTCATTTGAATACTTAGTATCTAAATCATTCAATTCTTTCTCTCTATCCATGGACAAATGTTATATCAGCATTATTTAGATAAGGTCACTGCTTCTTTACCGACTTATCCGTAACCCACACACACACACACACACACACACACACACACATCAGGGAGTCCATAGCATTACCGGTATAAACCTTTTTAGCCTTGCTATCACTAAATCTAAAGCAGTATTTGAGCCTGAACCATATTTTGGATATACATATTGTTGTCAGAGCCAAAAATACCACATATTTGCTCACCTTTCTCACTCTCTCTCTCTCTCTCTCTCTCTCTCTCTCTCTCTCACTCTCTCTCTCTCTCTTTCTCTCTCTCTTTCTCTCTCCTGCATTGTCCAATAGAAATGTGCCATGGTCATCAGTAATAGTCTACAATATCACACCCTATTTGTCTCTGCACACTGCAATGATTATGTACCTGAAAGTGTAATGTACATATTCAATTGAAATGAATCCTATGAGGTATGAATTGCATTTGCATCTTTCATCATAAGGTATACCATGTACATAAATTGTAAGGCCAAGTAGTGCAACAAAAGAGGCATAGTTTGGTGTGTATACCAGGGAGTGATAGTAAGCACTTTTCTCAACCCCCCCCCCCTCTCTTGACTAAAAAAAATTACAAAAATAAAATGGCACCTGGCACCCCCCCCCCCCCCTTTGAGAAATTGGGAGGAAAATCTGGAAAATTCAGGAAAAAAGGGGTAAAATCAGGAAACCAATTTAAATCGGGTAATTATCAGGCCTGGTATACTGATTTTTGTACACACTGTATGTCATGGAAACACTGGAGAGATTATTTTCTCCTATTGAAATATTATCAATATTATCAACATTTTCTACACGTACATGTAATGCCAATGGCATATATACATTAGATCCTTTGTTTATATTTGCAATCTGCTATGCTTAACTGGAGACAGTTCAAAGTTTAATCCTACTTTTCTACTACATTTCTATAAAGCCAATTAAACTGATGTTTGGTTTCTCGCCGCACCTGCTTCTTGTTTTATTCTGCCTGCTTATTATATTTTTGTAAAATCATGAAACAAAAAGAACATGGAAAAATTCAAGAAAAAAAGGAATAACAAATATTAAACGAATGATAGTAAATAAAAAAAATTAAAAAAATCTTGCATTAAATTCAACCTCACAGCAAAGATGTACATGTATAAAAGATAACATTTCGTAAGATATCAAATAACAAAATACACCCTCTTCCTTTTCAAATGAAAAAAAAAAGGGAAAAAAAAAAGAAACTAGGAATCAAGTTAACTTGGCTATTACTTAGGTTCAATCATGCTTTGGAGTCTGTACTTTTTAGGGCTAATGAATGAAATCACAAAATCAGTAAAAAGATAAAAAGAAGGATGAATTAAGGGATGAACTGACCCATGAAATATGGGTCAGCTCACTTTGAAACACGATTTATGCAGGTTAAGTCCTTGACATCATTTTTCCACTTCAAGGATCAACAGTGCATACATGTACATGTACGTCACATTTCAAGACCATACAATACCCGGTAGACAATTAGTTTAATAACAACTGCCTTGAACAGTTCCATGGTTTGGTACACATATGGGACATGCACAGATGTACTGATGTACACTGTATACAAACCATGCTTCCCCTACTGTTGTGTTCTCATAACTTGCATCGATTATGTGCTTCAGCAATTTTCTATTATATAAGTAATTGTTCACTGAACTGTGTACATACATATCTCACTATGAACATGACTACAGTTCCTCAGGTAGACAAAGGAACATCCCTTCCGTGCTATTGTGTAAAAATGTGTAGCACAGGTGTTACATGCTTATTCGCCTTTTTACATAATAGCAGTGAAGGGATGTTCCTTTGTCTACCTGAGGAACTGTATATTTTGTCCGCTTTCTTTGTCCATCATATTCAGTGTCTATTTGATAATTAATCATATTGAAGTAAACCCAGCAAAAATCACAAAAAACAAACCATACCTGACATTGATACTAGTAGATGTTCCTATTAAAAGGAAAGCTATCAAGTACATCAACTACAGCTTGTAAAGTGTAGGAAAAATAAACATCAGGGGTGATAGTGAGCACTAAAAAAAAAATAGGTTTTTTGTTTTCCCGTCAACCACGCCCCCCTTAAGTAAAAAAAAAAGAAGAGGATTCGCGGGGAAAAAACGGCATCTAACAACATTCCCCCCTTTCGAGTAAGAAAATTGGGACAAAATTAGGGAAAAAAAAAGGGCAAAATAGGGAAGAATAGAGAAAATAAGAGGGAAATCGGGAAACCAGGATAAAATGGGGAAGAAGAAAAAAAATTGGTAAAAAAAAAAAAAAAAAAAAAAAAAAAAAAAAAAAAAAAAAATCTGGATTTTTTTTTTTTTTTTTTTTTTTTTTTTAAATCGGGAAGAAAAAAAAAATCGGGAAAAAATCGGGAAAAATAAAAAAAATCGGGAAACCGATTTAAATCGGGTTTTTATCAGGCCTGAAACATGTCTGATTTTATTTTAGTACAGAGAAATCAGGGAGGGGGGGGGGGTCTCGCAATATATGTCACAGAGTTGCCAATTTGTGTTTGAATGATCACATCTTCAAAAATTCATAACTTTCTTATATCTAATCGAAATTCGCTCAAACTTTCACTGACCTATTCCTCTCATTTTACTGCTTCTCTAAAAACCAATTTCATATCAGGGAAGACTTCCCCTTTAACTGTCCAGGGGGGTGTTTTCACAAAGACTAAGATAAAATTTAAGTTGGACTTACAATGTAAGTATGGCAGGCCATTCATGCCACTGGTTGCTCTCACCATTGGTCTCTCGATTATGATCTTTAGATAATATTTTTTTCTTTAATAATGAACTATCAAAAAAGGTCATTTCTGTAGCTTTGTGACCACAATTTGACATCCCTTGAGAGATCAATACCAGTAAATGGTGAGAGCAAACAGTGGCATGAATGGCCTGCCATAGTTAAAGTCCAACTTAAAGGCGATCTTAGTCTTTGTGAAACACTCCCCCGGTATCCAAAGCACCTCTCAATCAGAGTTTCTGTTCCAGCTCTCTATGAGCGTGCGCCACCGGAGAAAATATGGATGACTACTTACCCACCAAGATCCGCCTGGATTTCCCGTCCCAAGTACTATATGATCCACAGCATTGGCCTGATGGTGGCGCCATTCGAGCCGAGATTTCTCATCCTCCCCCAGGTCTGCCCCGGGGCGGGAGAGGGTGTCGAACAGGAGGGCCACAGGGTTGTGGGAGCGCCCCTCGAGGCCTTCGCTGAGGTACTCCAAATCCTGCATGAATAGAAATGGGATGGTGAATACATATAGGTCGCCGGCCCCTGTATTGTTATTATTATTCAATTATTAAATTAACGGTCACCATATTTTTAGCAAAGTGGAGCTGAATTGGTATGATTGGATTTAATCTACATGTAAATATCACACATTTTGGGGTCTAAAATTACCTTCATAGCAATTATACATGTAGCTCCTAAAAAGGGCACTAGAAATATCATAAATAAGAATAAGAGTATGAACCACGCACTTTGAAGATATCAAAAAGTATATACAGTGTATTAAAGAAATAGGTTTCCATATAAAAAATTTGCTTCACTGTACAATGCCTTATTTATGCAATGTTCATAAAATGAGCTACACCTGTATGTCATTATATTTCAATACATACATAGTACAAGATAGTAGTTACACACCATGAATGTAATCATTGAAATTTGTTCATGCATCCCATATTCAGCAAACACGGTTGAAAGGAAAAGATATATTTCAATAAAAGAATATTTGCTGAACATACTGATCAAGTTAACTCATCCGTATCCTCTGTTAGTTTCAACAGATTGCAGATGAAAAAGGATGGTTTTGGTCCATTGCCCCTCACGTAACATGTTAAGTAGCAGCTAGTATTTACATTATCCCTCAAATACATCTAGGAATGTGGCTTTTTTTGCTGCTGAATGGCAAGGCTGGCAATTTCGCTCTGGAATGCTCAAATTGAGCTTTGAAAAAAATGACTTGTGTATTAAAGCCTTTATACAAAATTAACAATGGCGCTTAGCAAGCAGCAGAAAGAAAATGTCAAGCTGGTGCAGTTTGTTTGGATGAGGATATAAAGAGCAGAGCATTAAAAAAAAAAAAATGAGAAGAACAGGAATAGAATGTATTGAAAATTTGAAGCCACATAGAAAAGGAACCATGTAATGCCTTGTAACTCCTTGGTTATACTTACACACTCCAAAATAGACTGGTCCTCGTTCCCTTCTAGCTTGAGTTGCAGTATAGGGTTTGGATGTGGCTCACCCGTGAAGTGTGGCCAGTTACCAGACAAGAGGTATGACAGACATATCCCCGATGGGCCATTACCTGAAAACCCGACAAAGGATGAGAGAAATCATGAAAAAATAAATATTCTGCCAACATGAATTGGAATATCCTCATGATTTACAAGTTTGTTGATCTCTTTAGCCTTTAGGACATTGCATACATGTAGTTTTCACACAATACAACTTTAAAATGGTCTCTTCGAAAATTGAAATTGTCACTCTTCTGTAGAGGTTTAGTAATAAAATTCAAGACAGTTTAAGTACAGGTACATGTACAGTGTATGTAATTGTACAGTACATGTACATGTACAGTACATGTACAGTGTATGTACGTACATTTTTGTTTACAAGTCTAGGTCAAATACCAGACACCAGCAAAGAAATATAAAAAAAGGGGAAAATACTACAGGATGAAATAAGAGAAAATGTGAGCTAAAACTAAATAAATAAATTATTAAATGTCAAAATTAAATAATTAAATATGAAAATACACCTGTATATTGTAATACCAAGCAGCAATAAGTTAAGGGTTTTCCTGTATTTCCACAGACATTTAACTAGAGAAAGTGCCATGAATAACATAATTTAATCCATATTCAGTTTTACACTTAATAGCCATGAAGCAAGGTTAGATGCTATGTCAGGGTTGGTTTGTTGAGAAGCATGCACTTTTCTTGGCATCATTAATTCTACCCAAACTCTGGTACATTATCACATCCAAAGTGAACACGAAATTAAAGGCACAATCACATAAAATGTAACTGAACTAAATGTACATGTAGTATGTACTAACCTAACATGTACATGATGTTATTTATTTTGCCAATAATACCTTTTTAATTGAGTCATATTTTGACAGTCACATTTAAAATTGACAATTTACATACAGGTAGTCAATGATCACCTTTGTGATCTGTTTAAATGAACTACAGGTACACCATGAACAAAGACTAACAAGTTGAATCTACATGAATGTATACATGTACACTCATTTCGATTTGTGTTTAGATTAAAATATGAATGTACATGTACATGTTGTGGGACAAAAATGCATTATGGAATGGCTTGATATCATGTATTTTTAAAGTGCTAAACAATAATTCCAGAATAATGTTATTGTTTGTATCGTTTTTATTATCTATAATGATGCATTTTTGCATCCAGGGACACTCACTGTAGCTGGAGCTGCAATTCATCGCTCTAGGCCTCTAGGGTAGTCTTCGTGTTACGGGGGCTTTTATGGTTTCCTGTCCTACATGTATGTTTGTTTGCAGCTTTTGAGTGTTATCTTTTTTTCTCATTTTCTTTTTTTTGGTCTACATGTGCATCCGGAAGGATGGTAAAACAATAGAGTATACATGTGACTATTTTCCTGAAGCTCGAAAATGCGTCTTCACCAGACCGATACGCTCGTCACAAAGTACATATACAGTTGTACTGTAGATGAAGACGGACCTGCTATTTCCCAAATAGCGGGCTATTTTGGAAACAAGACCTAGATTCCTCAAGATATTTTCTCGACCAAATAACCCTCTAATTGCAACTTCAGTCTGATGAAGACAGGCCTAATCAATTAGCCATATGCCTAATAGTCAATGATATGAGCATACTGTCTGAAGCCCACCCCTCACTACACGATCATCCTGTAATGACGTAATCCAATTTTGTGTGTGCAGAAATGGCAATTGTATTACAGTGTAAGTAGAAAATCTAAACAAACATCATCTTCCTGATTTAGCTTCTAAATAATAATAAAAATACACAAAAGAATTAATAATCATAAATTTTTAGTGCATTGAACTCTTCTAGTCAGAATAAAAGCTGAATTGGCTTCAAAAGTTCAAATAGTAGACAATCGCACTACTGGTGTGATGTCACTACGATTCTGAGCCGATTTAGCTTATGGAGCGCTAATTTTTGTCTTCTCCAAATTCGCGAGGAAATATAAGTGCCGAATCACCCCCCCCCCCCCCCCCCCCCGGTCTTCTATTTTTATTTTTAAAATGGTTAGATTTACATGTACCTGTTTTGGGGCCAGGGGAGTGGGCCCACCCCCCCCCCCTAGATCTGCCACTGACCCTACCCATACATGTACAACAAAACCAAAATGAAGATGCTAGACAATCAAACAGCCCTTCTAACAATAATGGAAGAGATGTAGATACATGTAAAAGTACACAGACTGATTCAGTAGCCAGTACTTAGGCATGCACTAGTGTGCATTTAAAAATAAATCAATGATTGGCAAACAAGGACGAGTTGATCAATTTCTTAACTTCATTTAAGTATCAATTAAAAAATGATCCCATTCAAAATAAAATAGTCGAAAACTAGTCGAAAATAGAGGAAAAAACGGAAAATATGATTTTTGGCTATTTTCAAATTTCAACTCTGAATATATTTTTCATCTATCTTTAGTTCCAAATCCTTAGCCGAACAATACATACAGTGTAGTTTGTCTCTATTTTCTATTTTTTCAATAGGAAAATAGAAGAAAAATTGTCTAGTTTTCTAGGAAATACCCCCAAAATATAGATACATAGCAACCAGGGAAGTGCCCTTTTCCTCTCTCTCTCTCTCTCTCTCTAAAAAAAAAAAAAAAAAAGAAAGAAAAGAAGTAACTAAATACAAAATAGAAGGCTTACCTATGACAAGCACTGGGGTGTAGTGCTCTTTCAGTGCATGGTTATCACCATTACTTCTCTGATCCGGGCTGCTTCCGTACCTAGATGTTGAGTTGCGTTCACTGTTGCAGGGGCAGTAGTCTTCTGAAGCCATTTAATGCATCCACAAATAAGGTCCGTTTCAAACTCCTGGGTAACTAGTAACTACCTGCCCGACTAAACTGCCAATTGTTCAAACTTAATAGGTAGGAGTTGATTATTCCGACAGTGAAGGAGGTCAAATTATGCTCTCCTAATGAAGTACCCGAATGTCAATCACATCCAAATACTCAAATCCTCATGTGGAGCTACATGTCTCCTCCTAAAGTTGATCAAGGCTTTCAAGTCCTCCTCTGACTCGAGCGCAGACAGTAATCACAGCTGATGACCGACGATGATCTGAGGAGCTATTTCCCGTCCAGACGGCTTCATTCGCATTCTTCCCTCCCCTGACTGCGACCCGGTTTTACCACAAGGTAATTGGCTGTCTACGAGCCCGGGATATATGTCAATCTTTATTTATCCCGCTTCCCGATCAAAGTATCCTTATCCCGATGTATTTACAAATGTTTCTGTCAGATACTGAAGATAAACGAAGCAATAGAGAGGAGTAACTGATATATTGGACACACAAGTGTCTCACCAGCAGTGTCCTGTCACCTGGTTAGAAACAACAGGCTTTCGTTCACCGGGAGATATGGCAGCTGAATGTGATGAGCTGAGCAGCAGTACGATACCACGACCATCCTCATCCTGAACTAAGGGTCCTGATGATCATTTGGGTCTGCAAGCATGGGAGATAGGAGGAGAGAGTATAATTATGCATATGTAGGTATGTAGGTGGATGGGAAAGAATCTCTCTTGTATTTTACTGAAAAGATGGGTTATACCTGAATGCATTTCAAGTACTGGCAAATAGCACAAGTTTGTTACCGGTAGTCTAGTCATCTCTACCACATATAATATACGCTCAATGGTGACAAGATTACATGGATAAATTAGAGATACTTTTACTTATTTGTTCACACTTTTGAAAGCCTGGACCCTTAGATTAAAAATATAAAAAATAATAACAATTTTTAAAAAGGTATACAGTGTATGTACCACTATGTCAGTATTACAAAATTAGTTTCTCATCTTCAATGCTTTCAAAAAAGTCTGAAATTTAAGACTAAGTGTGATGCACGTGCTCTCTCCGTGCAAGAATGAATAGACAGAGCACTGAGTAAATCATGTTTATTCATAGTGTAGGCGTCTTTCAACTGAACCAACCAACCAATCAGAGCTTGAATTATACACCAGAACCAATAGCACTATCCTTATCAATCAATATTGACAGACTACTTCATGAATTATTCATGAGCAATATCTGCTGACTCACAGTTGACTATTACAGGTTCTGAGGTGTTCCATTATTCCCTCACCAAGGTACTAGAAACATCTTGAATTTGTAACAATTGCAGCATGCAACACATACATTTATAAAAATGTGACTTGACAAAGAGAAGGTTAAAAATCATCTTGGGGGAAAGGAGGGCAAAGAGTGAACTCTTCTTTAAAGATAAAGACCAGTTATGGTCATGCGATTGCATTGTGAAAGAAACATTGTGGAATCGATCAGAAAAGGTTGATCATCTAGCATCTAGCATCTGCAAGGTTCTGGAATCATCAAAATGAGAAGAAATTTGGCCCATTCTTCGTAAAGTTACAAGCACTATACACAGAAAGATGTATATGGGACTACCCTATATCTCTCACAGTCCATGAGAGAAACAAATTTACCAAATATATGAATTAGTAGGCGGTTTCCCGGCAAATTTTGTTATCATCATGTATTAGCCAAAACATATTCTTTCACATGATTGGTAATAAGAGCTTCCATTTCATTTTTTGAAATTGGGGCGTTTCCAATACTGGTCTTTACCTTTAAAGGCCCACTGCACTACTTGTAGCTACTTGCGCCCTCTATATAACAAACCATGCCTAATCGGTGACCATTGGTCCCCCATGATCCTCTTTTTCTTATGTTAACTGAGAGCTGAGTTGATGAGATAACCACATGTCCAGTGACCTTGCAGGGCAGTCTAATCCCTCCTGTAAACTATGGCAGATACGCTTTAATATTGTGTATAGAGGGGATGGAACATGAACACATGTATGTAGGTCCATGTACATGTATTGTATATATCTCATATCTATGAAATATGACAGCAGTGGATGGACCTACCAGAGCAACACCATCCCTGGTAATACAGTAACGGTATAATATATTCCTTTCAAATTACTGAAACCTATATATACATGTATGTACAAGTCAAACATCAACATGTTTCCAAAGAAGGCAATGCAAAACATTATATTTATTTTTTGCTCTAAAGGATAAACTCTTCTGGATTTCCATGGAAAGTATTGAAATGGAAACTCTATAGTAATTTTTAGGCTGCTTAAAGGCCAAGTCCACTTCAAAAAATAACTCACTTTCTATAGAAGCAGAGAAATCAGACAAACCAATCAAAAAAAGTTTGAGCAAAATCGGACAAGTAATAAGAAAGTTATGAATATTTACCGACATGAAAAAGCTTTGAAACTGAAAGTCACAAGACAAGTTGGCAACTCACTCATGAGTCTGTGACGTCATTGCCTCACTATCCATTAATTGTTTTCTTTATATTGATAATATAAATTTCCCATTTTCCCCCTAAGAATCTTATTTTCTCACACCAGCATCCAACTTATATTGATAGTAATATGTTTTTGTGTGGATGCACTAATATGGAGTAATTTTTTTCCAGTTAAAGGTAAATACCAGTTTTGGAAACACCCTGCTCTCAAAAGATTATTATGGAAGCTCTTATTACCAATCATGTGAAAGAATATGTTTTGACTATTAAATACATGTACGTGATGATACAAATTTTGCCGGGAAACTGCCTACTAATTGATACATTTGGTAAATTATCATATCTATCCGGACTGGATAGATACATGTATAAAGGGTAGTCCCATATATACATCTTTCTGTGTACAGTGCTTTTAACTTTACCATGACCAGGCCAAATTTCTTATCATTTTGATGATTCCAGAACCTTGCAGTACACACCAAGATATCAACCTTTTTTGATCAATTCCACAACATTTCTTTCACAATGCAATCGCATGACCAGAACTGGTCAACCTTTATTAGTAATGTTTGAATCATGACAAATTTGAGTTTTGATAAGCTTTTTGTATAAGAATCAATAATTATGAATGCAATATTCAGAAAATAGTATAAATTCATCAAAGTTCATAAAAGATTTTGTGGAATGTCATTCAGGCAATTTACAATGTGTGATTGGGCAAAGGCATGGGGAAATCAATTTTTTTTTTTTTTTTTTTTTTTTTTTTGGGGGGGGGGGGGGCGGTATAAATAGGGAAATTAATGGATAAGAATATATAAAGCGATTGATAAATACTAAATAGTGAGGCAATGACGTCACAAGCTGATAATCAAATTGTAAATTGTGTAGTGATTTCCATTGTTCAATACATTTTCATACTTTTTCAAAAATTCATAACTTCCTTATTAGTTTTCTGAATTTAATCAAACTTGTTTTGATTGGTTTGTTTGTCTGACTTGTCTGCTTCTATTGAGAGTAAGTCTTTTTTTTGGAGTGGACTTGGCATTTAATAGTTTCTTAAAATGCATGTGAAAACAGAATCATGAGACATGCAACCAGTCAACCTCAATATTTTTTTTGGCGTGGTATGATGTGTTCTTAATTTTTTATGCAACCACAAAATCACTTCTTCAAAAGCCTTGGACCTAAAATCTTTCAAAGGTCTGGTATTGAACCAGGCACTCCGGCAGACTAGTCAACCCTTTGGGTTTTTAACTGGGTGCTTTGAAAAAAGAAATGAAAAAAAAATCAGACTGAGATGTAGTGCTCTACAAATTGACTTGTAGCCGTGTGGGATTAATTCAGGATCAATTTAGGATTAATAAAGATTTTCAGTAGAGGGAGGTGGGTGGTACTTATAAATTAGGTAGCCCTTATTGGAAACTGTTCTTTTGTATGAATAAAAACCATTACTTGCATACATTACCATTCAAATCAAAAGAAAATAAAGATCTAATGTAGATCTAGTTTAAATCCCTATATCTTTATTTTGTGTTCTTTTAAAAAATGAACGCAGCCTAAGGATGGGGTCATGAGACCATTCTCTAGACTGACAATTAACGAAAAATCCTGCAGATGTAGTTTAAGCTCCTTGATTTAGTATACCTGTCCACCTTTAAAATGAAATGCCACATTCCCTGAATTTAAAATTATGACTTACATGTAAGCATGAGCATCAGCATGGCTGGTCACCAAAGCCCAGGCAAATGAGAGGGAGTCTGCCTTTTCCCAGAATAGGAGCCGATAAAAGATATTCTATTTCTACTTTTCATCCTTCAAAGGTAATACAAAGTTTTGGTATGGGGTCATGAATTTGGTTTAAATAAATATATTGGAAGCATATAGGATCCTACACTATTCAGTGATCGTTGTTGCGGTCGAAATCGACTCTAAAATTATGAAATTGTAAATAATAAACATTTTATGTTGAATAGCTCCCTCTCAAGTTCAAGATATTAATTAAGCTATAAAACAATGCTTATTGACTAAAATCGACCAATTAGCTATTGTCTTTCGGAAATTATATACCATAACTACATACTCTGAGATTTTCACGGTCGCAGCTACATGTACCATTGTACGGCCGTAGGAGCTATTTTCAAATTTATCCAAATTTATCGGGAGCACCGGTAAATCTTTATATTAAATTTTTCTCGAAAGCAGAAGTGTGTTAGGGGATAAAATTTCTGGTGTTTTTAATACATCCACACAGGGGCATCCAAATATATCAAAATTGTAAAGAATCACTATCTACCCATTTTTCAAAATTTCCAAAAACTTTGTAATACCTTTAATGTTTAGATGTCATATTGCTGTGTATACTAACACACAGCTCAAAGTGGCATACATACATGTATATCTGCTCGTTCTAAATTATAAAGTATGTAAAATGACTTGTGAGTACGAGTGGCCTGCTGTGCATTGCAGTGACAGTGGCAGTGGAGTGGCTGCATGCATGCAGACAACAGTGTTAGTCGCAAGTGCAGACCCAATGCAAAAACACCCCTTCACGGTTAAGGCCGCCATTTTAATTTGCGAGTAAACATTGCGTCATCAATTTTTTCAGACGCGCATGTATTGGATTGTCTCCTGAACTGACTGCGCTGCATGTAGAAGTTTACGCATTGAGCTCTGTAAAGTGAATTACCCGCTCTGATTGGTCGATCCACTCTAGCAGATTCGACATTAAGTGAGAGAGGGCCCACTTAAGTAGAGAGCGCAATGGTCCCGCCAATACAAAATATTACACAACACACTGACATGTCATGCTTTAAACAAGTAACGGCAAACGCACTTTACACATAACTGATGCACATTAAGCGTAGGCTACTGGTACACACATAAAATAGAAAAATCAACAAATATTTCAGTACAACTTCCAAGTTGTACCTTAAATATGATGAAAATGAGAATTGTTAAAACTTAAGTAGATCTAGATTCTAGGCCTAAACGGTTAAACGTAAATCAAATGAACTTTTTGTAGCACATGCGCAGTAACACTAACAGTTTACAATTTCAAAACGGAACACTGCTGCACATTACAATTGCATACCATACCAGCACGGCGGTGTTAAGTTAGCGACTGTAATCTAAGCAATTCATCATTTAATGACTTATGCGGTCGCTAACTTAGCACACGCGTGCTGGCACCCCACTATTCGTACGGTATGCAATTGTACTGTGTAGTAGTTTGCTGTGGATTCCATGAGAAAGTGAATATTAATTATAGTCTAAATTACTCACTCTAAGTTTTCGATTTTAGGAAAAGTAGACTTCTACTGATTAGCTCCAAAAAAGATAAGAAAATTGACACAAAACAGATAAGAAACATGGGCCTAACAACTTTTAATTATATCATGACCATTAGTACTGTAGCGGCTCTTACATTCGCCCTACTTACATTTGCCCTACTTTCACCGTACTTTCATGTCTCCAGTATTTTTCCATCACGGTACTTATTTATATTCATTATTCGGGCCACGTGTGTATTTCTTTCCAATCGCGCATCGTGGTTCCGCACTGTTCACCCCGCGTATTTTCAACTCCACGAGGTTTTTCTCCACTCCCGCCTTCACCTTGGTCGAGTCAAGACGTCTCCGTAATTTCCTCTCCACGCTTTATTCTTCTGTGCCTGTCGTTTCTTCTACGGCACGTCTACTCTTTTTCTGCCGTGTTCATCGGGCTGCAGTCTCCCAGTGGAACGTTATAGTCAGCACCGACATGGCGCCTGACTCTCCGCTGGGAGCTGCCAGTGTCTTCGTTCCGGTAGCTCTTTCCACTCACGAGCTCATCATTTCACCGCAGCTCATCTAAACATTTCTTCATCAAAGTCCGGCGCATCAAACGAGCAACTATTACTACTCAGCACCAGTGCCGGCTTTGCATGTCTACATTTCTACTTGCCTCCGACATCAAGCGATTCACTGCTTCGTCGTCGAGCGCCACATCTCTTCTCGCCTGAGAGCTTCAACCACATCTTTATCACGAGCGTCAGCGTCGAGATCCTTCACCGCTCTTCAGCCACGACTACGAAGCTTCATCTCCGCCTTTAAGCCTCCGCAGCATTCATCGCGTGAGCCCCTTCCTTCGTTTTCATCTCTCTTCATCTTCATTGGACTTTCGACGCCATTTCTATTCTGTCGTAAGCTTTCATTCATTATGTACATCGCATTTATTCATGTTCATTCTCATCCTTAATCATTATGTAATCTTCGTGCAATATTCACATTTTCAAGTCTGCTATATTTGCTTGACTGCACTTTGCAAGTGCATTGTCAGCTTTGTTCAGTACCCAATAAATTAACGAAAAGGGAATACTTTCTTTCATGTATTTTATTGTCAGTGCAACCTTGCTTCCTTGTAGCTAAAATAAAAATAAGAGTTATGTTGTGTGACGAGTGAACACGCTTTCAAATATCCATTCACAATACCTCACACTCATATCTCTAAAGTGGTGACCCCTCGTTTACTTTGAAGCTTGGTTGTACGAATTTATTATTCCCTGACTTTTTAGACTTAGCAGTGTTTTATAAAATGTCTTCATTCTGGATTATGTATTGAATGTTTTTTTATGCTCTTGCATTTATACACGTTTATTCGATGCATACCATGTCAATATTCACTGTTCTGTTTTTGGCAACTAAACAGCCGTTCGCATACCATGCTTGTTGTATTACATTCTTTCAACATGCCATGCTTGTACATTTCTTAGGCTGTTGTAAATTACTGCATACACTATATAATACATGCACTTTTACATTTTTATCAGCCATTGATTCTTGTGACATTTTGTACTTTGCTCATTTATATATTATCGCCTTTCATCTGTGTATTGCATACACAGCTTCAATTCTGGCAGGGGAGTAATGTAGCGGCTCTTACATTCGCCCTACTTACATTTGCCCTACTTTCACCGTACTTTCATGTCTCCAGTATTTTTCCATCACGGTACTTATTTATATTCATTATTCGGGCCACGTGTGTATTTCTTTCCAATCGCGCATCGTGGTTCCGCACTGTTCACCCCGCGTATTTTCAACTCCACGAGGTTTTTCTCCACTCCCGCCTTCACCTTGGTCGAGTCAAGACGTCTCCGTAATTTCCTCTCCACGCTTTATTCTTCTGTGCCTGTCGTTTCTTCTACGGCACGTCTACTCTTTTTCTGCCGTGTTCATCGGGCTGCAGTCTCCCAGTGGAACGTTATAGTCAGCACCGACATGGCGCCTGACTCTCCGCTGGGAGCTGCCAGTGTCTTCGTTCCGGTAGCTCTTTCCACTCACGAGCTCATCATTTCACCGCAGCTCATCTAAACATTTCTTCATCAAAGTCCGGCGCATCAAACGAGCAACTATTACTACTCAGCACCAGTGCCGGCTTTGCATGTCTACATTTCTACTTGCCTCCGACATCAAGCGATTCACTGCTTCGTCGTCGAGCGCCACATCTCTTCTCTTCTCTTCTCTTCTCGCCTGAGAGCTTCAACCACATCTTTATCACGAGCGTCAGCGTCGAGATCCTTCACCGCTCTTCAGCCACGACTACGAAGCTTCATCTCCGCCTTTAAGCCTCCGCAGCATTCATCGCGTGAGCCCCTTCCTTCGTTTTCATCTCTCTTCATCTTCATTGGACTTTCGACGCCATTTCTATTCTGTCGTAAGCTTTCATTCATTATGTACATCGCATTTATTCATGTTCATTCTCATCCTTAATCATTATGTAATCTTCGTGCAATATTCACATTTTCAAGTCTGCTATATTTGCTTGACTGCACTTTGCAAGTGCATTGTCAGCTTTGTTCAGTACCCAATAAATTAACGAAAAGGGAATACTTTCTTTCATGTATTTTATTGTCAGTGCAACCTTGCTTCCTTGTAGCTAAAATAAAAATAAGAGTTATGTTGTGTGACGAGTGAACACGCTTTCAAATATCCATTCACAATACCTCACACTCATATCTCTAAAGTACTTTAACAATTGATGAAGATATTTGATTTTCAGTATGATTCAGTAGGGTATCTCCTAGACCGAATTTTTCTGTCTCTTTCGTTCGTTAGCCTCTGATTTTGGGGAAGGTCGGCTCTCTATTTAGGGATTAAGTTTGGCCAAGTTTTGTGTAACGTTTCTTTACACAAACGCGTGAACACTAAAGCGTATAGGGTAGCGCGCCCAGTATTCGGTCAATTCCCAGTATTCGGTCAGACAGCCGTTTCAACAGCTGTAACAATTTAAAAAATAATTTATGAGCCACGAAACTTGCACAAATCAGGCAGCTGAACAATTTTTCTTAACTCTCAAAATTAAATCAGATTTAGGGCCCCGGAATGATCTCCAACTTAGCTCGAAATTGGTCAGTGTCGCACAACTTTCCGCACTTTCGCGTTCTCTTAGCACATGCGCTAACATGCATAGCCATATGTAGAAGTCTATTGCGAAACAACTACGTGTGCTGTCACAATGAATTTAGTATGTGTGTGAAGAGAATCACTTCCGTGTTCGCTCCATCGCAGCGAATTTGCAAATGACGCACTTGCCGATGTGCAAGAGGTATTTATACGATACCCTTGCCATGCGGTATCGCTCAGCCAGTATTCGGTCAACGCATTGACATTCAGTGCTTTATTGCGCAATTGTGTGAAAATAGTGCGCAAATACGCTACGCTCCTTTGCAACGGAGATACCACGCACTAATCGCGTGACCGAATTCTAGTCGGCGCGACCGAATTCTGGGCAGAAAAATGCTCCGTCTTCTTTCGGAAGTCTTTTGCTTATCGTTATTCTATATTTTCAGTGACTATAAAATCCTGTTAGAGGAATAAATTTCTTTTCTTTTGATGGGTAGATTGCCCAATGAAAGAGGTAAGAATTCAAAATATTAGTGATTTCCCCTTAAGTGACCGAATACTGGGTACTCTACCCTAGGGCTGTTCTGTCTCAAAAGAGAGAGCCGAGCTTACCCAAATCAGAGGCTAACGAACGAAAGAGACAGAAAAATTTGGTCTAGGTATCTCCACGCCGGAGTTACTGATCAAAATTTGAATACCATTCTGAACTAGCGCCGGGTACCATACCGGGCCGGGTATTGTGCCAGAGCAGCATGCAACTGCAGTGGCCTAGGCCTACGCCTGGCGGTGGCAATGCAGTTCCAGTGGCATGGCAGTCATGTCATTGTCAGGATGTCATTGCATATTGGCAGTGCAGCTGCAGTGCATTGATGATTGAGATTCCAGCGAGAAATGTAAACTATTTCCAAGAATTCATAGTCAATGATGCAAATAGGCAGCTTGTTTAATATTACTTTGTCATAAATTAGATACCTTACCTCAGGTAAATAATGAAATGATCCCAAAGTTGCCAAAGTGTTCCGTTCGTCAGTCCCAAGCACAGCACGCCACGTTTGACACTTTATGCAGATCACATACATTGTACATGTAGTGTACATGTACGTGCGTACCACGTACAGTTCGGGTTCGTTCGGGTACAGTACGTACACCGGTACGGTACATAAATCACATGTCAAAGGCGATTGCGTAACTCCATAAAAGGGATTTATGGTCTGGCTTCTATTCATTAGTGCATTCACCCGGCCTATACTTCAAGTACATGACCTAGCTCTGCGTGACAACATAATAATATTATGTCCAATTTATTGTCCATGTATAAAGTATGTATGTAGGATATCTATGGGCCATATAAACTACAAAAAAAAAAAATCTTCCGTAGGCTATCATATAAGAAAAAAAAAAATCCGCATCACCACTATTACATGTTACGCAGGCCCTAGGAAGGTTTTTCGAAGTGGGGGGGGGGGGGGGGGGGGGGGGGGGCTCAAGTATTTACGATCAGGTAGAGCATGCAAAGCAAAGTGGAGCGTAAATTTGCGTAGGGTCCAGGGTCAAAGCCCCGGCGGAGCCCCATGAAGCTCAGGGGTTTTAGGCATTTATTTACGGTCAGATGAGCATATTTTGATACCTAATTTGTGAGACTGGCATGCTCGGGGGTTTTAGGCATTAAATTACGATCAGATGAGCATCCATGGGCCATAGCCCCCGGAAGCTCAGGCGTTTTAGGCATTTAATTATGGTCAGATGAGCCCAAGGAGCCCCCCTTAGGGCCCTTAATTGGTGGGGTCCAGGGGGCAGAGCCCCCGGAAGCTTAGGGAAAATCATGCCATTTCAGCAACATTTGTAAATCACTGGTATCGAATTAGAAATAACCACGTTTGAATTTCATTTGGGGGAATTGCCCCCAAAGCCCCCCTCCCCCATCAGTACGCAGGTGCGAGGGAGCAATAGTGAATGAGACAATGGAGAGGGGAGAAGGTGACGGAAGTAGTGGCTTCCTCCTCACAGGTTTTTGAAGTTTTGTTGTATTAAAAAATTACAGTCCTTAGCAAAACTATAGTATAAAATCAAGCAATATACGTTTTTCACACTTCACTTTCCTCGGTATTTACTTGTATATTTTGAAGGATATTATACAAGGGAGCGTAGCTACCGAGTGAGAAGATTCTAGTCTTTAGTCAGTATTTGCTATACATTTCAGCTGCCGAAATAATTCTCACTGCTCTCTTTTGAATGAGTAGAATTTTACCTTAGTAGGATTTGGCTGTGGCTCCCAGGCAAGCACACCATAATTATAAGTATGGCAAAACAAAATTAAGGAAGAGTACAACACATTATGATTAAGTGCATTTCTAGGGAAACAAAAAATTCAATTTGTTGATCATTCCAACATTTCTAGAGAGCATCTTCCAAGTCAATTTATCATCACTGTGGAGACCTAGACATTTGATAAATGAAACCTTTGCAATATTTATCTGATCAAAGATTACATTACCAGGCATTTTACACGCAAAAAACTGAGGTGCTAAATGTTGGGTGCTGAGTGAGATTCTGCACTTGAAGTGCCAAAATCAGCACTTGACGGGTTAACTTTAACAAGGAAACCGAAACGTGCTGAATATTTGAGTGCAGAAAACGAGTGCTATAACAATATGCAGCACTTAACATCGAGTGCTGACTGCATAACCTGATCTGATTGGTCGGTTAGTATAATAGCTGTTACCTTGTGAATATTTGTTTTTGAATCAAATTCAGCTAAGAGATTCTTACATTCTTCATTCTCCAGGTCAATACCCAAGGCCTCAAAAGTCTGAATAACTTTGCTCCTTAAACTGTCAACAACATCAGTATTCAAAGCTGTTGCAGCAGATAACACTCTGTTTGTCATAGCATGGGTCATGTTGGTGTTTGATAAAAGAGAACCAATGAAAAATGCAGCTGGTCTCACTATGAACATGACAGACAATGAAAGCGGACAAAATATACAGTTCCTCAGGTAGACAAAGGAACATCCCTTGACTGCTATTATGTAAAATTTGTAGAACAGGTGAATATGCATGTGACACCTGTTCTACACATTTTTACATAATAGCAGTGAAGGGATGTTCCTTTGTCTACCTAAGGAACTGTATATTTTGTCCGCTTTCATTGTCTGTCATATTCATAGTGTCTTGTACTGTCATTATGCATTGCTCCATCTTGTTCTTGTAGTAGGCCTATCCTATCATCATCATCATCATCAAATGCATCATCTGCTGCAGGATTATGCACTTCACCAACAGCAACACCCAAATCAGCATCAACTAGACCCTCCATACCCTGTACAACTTCAGGTTCAGGTTCTTCTTGTGGATGTTGGTTTAATAAATGTTTCCTGTAAGAGTTGAAAGTGGTAAATGACGAAGGACATCCACCTTGACCACATACCAAATGTAGATGGGGCATGTCAAACAACGCATGAGTTAGCACTTGCACAAGGGCTATTCTGCTAGCACCCAAAAGAGAGCAAAACTTGGCACTTTAAGTGCACAACAGTCAGCTCCTTTGGGTGCTAGCAAAGTAGCCCGGGTGCAAGTGCTAACTCAGCACTTCGAGTGGAGTCACTATGCGAGCTCCTAAAAAGTGCTAAAATTGAATCTTTAAGTGCTAAATTTAGCACAACAGTCAGCTCCTTTGGGTGCTAGCAAAGTAGCCCGGGTGCAAGTGCTAACTCAGCACTTCGAGTGCAGTCACTATGCGAGCTCCTAAAAAGTGCTAAAATTGAATCTTTAAGTGCTAAATTTAGCACTTTTTTTTTTTAGTGTACTGTTTCACTATTACTGAATAACATCTATTTGGTTGTCAATGAATTAGTGACATGTTATTTGCATGAATCCAAATAGTCAATACACAATGCTCTCTATTTACAATTTATAAAGGAGTTTCTAAGTTTCTATGATAACAGAATACACTTGTATCGTCTGCAAATAGCAACAAAGAAAAGAAAACTCCAGTGCACATCCAAATTCTATTCCTTTGAATATATTAAGATAAAGGTATCCCAAAGGTATCCGATCAAAGGGAGCCTCCATGTTCCGCATCTGAGCGACATAGGTGTTTTTTCTTCTTAAAACATTCCGAGAAACCCTCGTATCATACGAGCAGGTTTGTCAGAATGGTGCCGAATGATAAAGGCCAGAATTTGGTAACCCGGCATGATGTCACGACAATAAATATTATTAATAAAAACCGTAACAAAAACACAGGGACACCCCCAAAGAAAATTATGATAAAAGAGAGAGGTGAATTCATTGTTTACAATGAAAGTCTTTTTTTAATGTTGGTGATAACGGTCAAATTTGACTAATCGCCATATAACGCTGAACTAAACAACAACAACAACAATAATATCTCAGGTATGCCTCAGTGTGCCCCTCATTTGAATAGCTCATGAGGCATTGATAGAAATTCATAACTAATGATTTACTAAGGATTTCTCTTTTCCAGTCGTTTTCCAGCACTCCTGATAAAACAGTCTTATATAATGTTTCCCAAATACCTATTCTGGAAAAGAAATGAATGGAGCAAAATCAATAAGTAGAGTTAGGCTACACTGTATAGACCTAGTTTGTACAATAAATTTGTTTAACAGAAAATAACGATCTCAAAGGCAACAACTTTGAAATTTCAATATAACAGTCGTCTCGTAACCGGGATGTCACTCGGAGAGAACTTAAAGGCATTGGTCCCCTGGTTGCTAGCATGCACATGCTTTCTTAAAGGGACAGTTGAGTTCTGTTGCAGAGGGCGCTACACAAAATAATTTTTTGTGAGATAATGAAAAACTGAGTGTCAAATTTGAAAGAACATAATATTTAAATGACAAAATCATCTTTGTTTGATCAAAATTGGTTCAGAGACGGCTGAAATATAACGATTTCTAATACTCGTGTATACCACCACAAATATTAGATATTTTGAAAAATTAAAAAAAACCGTTGAAAAAACCGAAATAACGCCTTTTACGTCGTATTTCAGTCAATGCCGATGTTGACTTTTTTGTTGGCATTTTTTTGTTGCTTATAAATATTACCCACAATTAGCCGGCTCATGAATTGTTATTTTTAATTAAATAAATTAACGGTCACCGTGTTTTTTTAATGTGGAGCTGAATTGGTATGATCGTATTGGCTAAATTTCACATTTTGGGGTCTAAAATTACCTTCATAGCAACTTTATGTTTTAAAAGGGCACTATAAATGTCATAGATAAGAATAACAGCAATAACCATGCACTTTGAAGGCATTTGCGGTCTGAAAACAGAACTCACTTATCCCTTAAATGAGCAGTAAAAAAAAAAAATATCCACCAAACGACACATGATTTGGGTCCGGAATTCATTTGGAGAACTCATAGGCACACCCCGATCGACGCCCCGTAAATTTTCAAACCATTATCAAACAGGCATGCACTCTTGGTGACTTTAATATTCATTTTGATTATCAAACAAAGGAAAGAAAAGACAAAAAAAAAAAAAAAAACAGACAAAAATCTTGGTTTGTATTTTGTTTGCACATTGGGAAGTCGATGATGCGAGTCACTCATTTAGAGAGATAGATGGCGCTACAACAGTACAGTTGTTTTGTTAAGTTAATTTTTGAGATATTCTTTGCGTGTCCCCGTTATTGAAAGAATCTATAATTATTGTTAGTGGAAGGTAATACAAAGTTTTGGTATGGGATCATGAATTTGGTTCAAATGAGCATATTGGAACTTGGAAGCATATGCGATCATACACTATCCAGTGAGCGTTGTCGCGGTTGAAATCGAGTCTAAAGTTATGATATTGTAAATAATAAACTCTTTATGTTGTATAGCTCCCTCTTAAGGTCAAGATATTAATAAAGCTATAAAACAACACACACACACACACATATAAAACAACGTGTCTTGACTAAAATCGATGGATTGGGCTATTCCTGTTTGAAAATTATATATCACAACTACATATTATGAGATTTTCATGGTCGCAGCTACCATTGTATGGCCGTATGCGCTATTTCAAATTCATCAAAATTTACCGGGAACACCGGTAAATTTTTATTTTCAATTTTTCTCGAAATATATCAAAATTGTAAAGAA